GATGGAATCATTTGAAAATAGAGTAAATCAGGTACAATAGCTGAATGTCCTTGTTTGGTTCTTTCATCTGGGAAAATAGGAGTTTGCGATAAATAACTTTCTTGATATACTTGTTTTGACATATCTGTTTCTCATGCTAGGTTCTTAACAAGGCTCGTGATGAATCTGGCAGTAGTGCCCAGAAGAGTTTGTCCGAGAGCAACAATTTGAAAGCTATGGTCACTGCAGGCTCAAAAGGCAGTTTCATTAATATTTCACAAATGACTGCTTGTGTCGGACAGCAGAACGTTGAGGGCAAGCGGATTCCATTTGGTTTTGTTGATCGTACCTTGCCCCACTTCACGAAAGATGACTACGGCCCCGAAAGCCGTGGATTTGTGGAGAACTCTTACCTTCGAGGCCTGACACCACAGGAATTTTTCTTCCATGCTATGGGTGGTAGAGAAGGTTTGATTGATACTGCTGTGAAAACTTCTGAGACAGGATATATTCAGCGGAGGCTCGTGAAGGCTATGGAGGACATCATGGTGAAATATGATGGTACCGTGAGAAACTCCCTTGGCGATGTCATTCAATTCTTGTATGGAGAAGACGGCATGGATGCTGTTTGGATTGAATCCCAGAAACTGGACTCCCTGAAGATGAAAAAGGATGAGTTTGATAATGTGTTCCGTTATGAACTGAATGATATGAACTGGAAGCCTAATTACATGCTGCCTGACCATGTTGAGGATTTGAAGACCATTCGTGAATTCAGAAATGTGTTTGAGGCAGAGCTTCAGAAATTGGAAGTTGACAGATTACAACTTGGGCAAGAAATTACCACAACTGGCGAGGGTACATGGCCTATGCCTGTCAACCTCAAGCGGCTTATCTGGAATGCTCAGAAGACTTTCAAGATTGATCTAAGAAAACCTTCTGACATGCACCCAATGGAAATCGTGGAAGCAATTGATAAGCTGCAAGAAAGGCTCAAGGTTGTCCCTGGCGACGACGCCATGAGCATTGAGGCTCAGAAGAACGCTACTCTGCTCTTCAATATCCTGCTTCGCAGCACATTTGCTAGCAAGAGGGTCTTGAAAGAATACAGGCTTACAAAGGAATCTTTCGAATGGGTCATTGGTGAGATTGAATCGAGATTCCTGCAGTCTTTGGTGGCTCCTGGTGAAATGATTGGATGTGTGGCTGCACAGTCCATTGGAGAACCAGCAACTCAGATGACGCTGAATACTTTCCATTATGCTGGTGTTAGTGCTAAGAATGTTACCCTTGGTGTTCCCAGATTAAGAGAGATTATCAACGTCGCCAAGAAGATAAAGACTCCATCTCTGTCTGTCTTCCTAAAGCCTGGGGTGAACAGCAGGAAAGAATCGGCCAAGAATGTCCAGTGTGCCCTGGAGTACACCACGCTGCGTAGTGTGACCCATGCCACTGAGATATGGTATGATCCTGATCCTCTAGGAACCCTCATTCCCGAGGATGTGGACTTTGTCAGGTCATACTATGAGATGCCTGATGAGGATGTCGACCCGGATAAGATGTCTCCTTGGCTGCTGCGTATTGAACTGAACCGCGAGATGATGGTTGATAAGAAGTTGAGCATGGCTGATATTGCAGAGAAGATCAATCATGAGTTTGATGACGACTTGTCATGCATATTCAACGATGACAACGCGGATAAGCTCATCCTTCGTGTCCGCATTGCAAACGACGAAGCTCCTCCAAAAGGAGGAGAGGCACAGGGTGAATCTGCCGAGGACGACGTCTTCCTCAAGAAGATTGAGGGTAACATGTTGACTGAGATGGCCCTTCGAGGCATTCCAGATATCAACAAGGTCTTCATCAAAAAGGGGAAGGTGAATAAATTTGATGAGAAGGAAGGATTCAAAGGAGAAGAGGAGTGGATGCTTGATACAGAAGGTGTAAACCTCTTGGCCGTCATGTGTCATGAGGACGTTGATCCTTCTAGGACAACAAGTAATCATTTGATTGAAGTGATTGAGGTTCTTGGCATCGAGGCTGTCCGTAGGTCCCTCTTGGATGAGCTGAGGGTGGTGATATCTTTTGATGGGTCTTATGTGAACTACCGGCATCTGGCCATTCTCTGCGATACGATGACGTACAGAGGTCACCTGATGGCGATTACCAGGCACGGCATAAATCGTAACGACACAGGGCCTCTCATGAGATGTTCTTTTGAAGAGACGGTGGATATCCTGCTTGATGCTGCTGTATATGCTGAATCTGATTACCTGAGAGGTGTCACAGAGAACATTATGCTTGGCCAGCTTGCTCCTATTGGTACAGGAGGGTGTGGATTGTATCTGAATGACCAGATGCTGAAGCAGGCCATTGAGCTCCAACTCCCGAGCTATATTGACACTATGGACTATGGTGTCACACCGGCGCGTTCACCCTCCGGGACACCGTACCATGATGGAATGATGTCGCCATTGCTGAGCCCGAATTTCCGGGCTTCCCCCCTCACGGATGCTCAGTTCTCGCCGTATGTTGGCGGCATGGCGTTCTCGCCCATGCCGTCGAACTACAGCCCGTCGTCTGGAGGTTACAGTCCATCTTCTCCGGTGTTCAGCCCAGGGCCAGGACACAGCTACAGCCCCACTTCTCCGTCATACAGCCCCGCATCACCCAGCTACAGCCCTGCATCACCATCATATACTCCTGGCTCTCCTTCCTACAGTCCGAGCAGTCCATCATACTCTCCAACCAGTCCGTCATACTCTCCGACATCTCCGAGCTACAGCCCCACATCTCCTAGCTACAGTCCAACCTCTCCGGCATACTGCCCCACTTCGCCAAGCTACAGTCCAACCTCTCCGGCATACTGCCCGACATCTCCTGCATACAGCCCGACCTCTCCAGCATACTGCCCGACATCTCCTGCATACAGTCCGTCGTCGCCATCTTATAACCCAACGTCGCCATCTTATAGTCCGACATCTCCTTCATACAGCCCGACTTCACCATCTTATAGCCCGACGTCGCCATCATACAGCCCCACATCTCCTTCATACAGCCCTACATCGCCAACTTATAGCCCGACGTCGCCTTCATACAAACCGACATCGCCCTCGTACAGCCCAACATCACCTGCATACAGTCCGTCATCGCCTGGTTACTGCCCAACGTCACCGAGCTACAGCCCTACTTCACCGAGCTACAGCCCTTCTTCGGCCAAGTACAGTCCTTCAAATATCTATTCTCCAAGCAGCCCAAGGATGATGAGCCCGTACAGTCAGACTTCTCCAAACTACAGGTAATTCTGTAACTTATGTTCATAGACTTTCTGGTGGTATTCTATTCATACATTTTTAGTTTTTCTTTTCCGTAAAGTGGATAGCCCTGGCCTTATTATCGGCTGATGCTCGAAGCAAAATACTTATGCTTATTTGTGCTCACATATCTGTTTCTGCAGCCCGACCTCACCGTCCTACTCGCCCACCTCACCGTCGTATGCGCAACCAAGCCCGTCATACAGCCCGACAAGGTGAGCCGAATTTCAGTTGATCATCCTCCTTGTTTCAACTTAAAGAAGACCTGTTGCTGTGACAAATAGAATGGGTTGCCTAACTCACTGCCTGCATGCTGCAGCCCGATCACTACCTCTGGAGGACCTAGCCCAGATTACACCCCAACTTCTCCAAACTACAGGTAATTAAATTAAATGCGTAATCAGGCTTATCTATCTCGTCGATTTGCCCTTGATGGAAGCACACCATTGGTTAGCTCTTCTGACGAGATCACTTTTGAGCGTGCAGCCCCACTGCAAGCTACTCCCCCACCGCACCGGGCTACTCGCCGATATCCACCGAGCCGCAAACTAGTGACAAGGACAAGGAGACTGCTCCCTGAAGCCACAACTCAGAGGAAATTGCTGCTGGCCGAGGCAGAAGCACACCACACTAGCTGCTGTTCTTGTTTCCCTCCGCGTCGCCAGAACAGGCATTGGGTTTGCTGCGCTTGCCGATAAATTGCTGCTGAACTTGAGTTGTTATGTATGATAGATGTTGCCAGTGACTCCCCAGTAACTGTGTTGTTGAGAATTTGCAATTGTACTTAATAATGTGTTGTTGATCGGATTGTTATGTTGATGATGTTGTTGACCAGATTGTTATGTTGATGTTTCCATTGGAACTTCTTATTTGCTACTCCCTCCGTCCTTTAAAGAGTGTACTTCCAACTTTGTTGGAGAGTCAAATTATCTTAAAGTTTGACCGAGTTTGTGCAAAAAAATAACAATGTTTGTGAAACCAAATAGGTATATGATGAAAATATATCTTATCATGAATCTAATACTCCCTCCGTCCCATAATATAAGACGTTTTTTTGACACTACACTAGTATTAAAAAACGTCTTACATTTTGGGACGGAGGGAGTACTACTAATTTGATGGCATAAATGTTGATGTATTGTGGTATAAATACGGTCAAACATAAAAATATTTGACTTTCCAATAAAGTTGGAAGTACACTCTTCAAAGGACGGAAGGAGTACTCAGCTGTGGAGCGCTTTTGCAAGTCCTGCAGATTTCCTTTTGCTGCTTTGGCGTTTGGTAGGCCTTTGCTGTGCTTAAATGTTTTTGAGCTGCACCATGTCTTCGATTTCCTCTAAAGGCTGCCTCTTGTGCTAATTTCTACTTACACCTGAGTAAGGATTAAGGGTTACAACTTGTACTGTTACTGCTGTCAGGTACAAGTTTTTTTTTCCTCTAATTTTCATATTACTGCTGCAGGTATTTGTTTCCCAGTCCTTTGTTCTGATCTAATCAGCACAATTTTTATGTTTACTTCTCTCGCTGTTTACTTGGTATAGTTATTCATACATGGGAAGACATATTTTCAGTAAAGGACCTCTGTGATCGTGTGGAGCGATGCTCACACACAACGGCAAGTTTATTCATCCATTTATTTACTCATAGACATGCACACAGGCATGCATCGATCGAGGACTCACGCTAGATTTAGATCGTAGTATGTTGTTACTCCGTCACTAGCTGAATCAAAAGCCCCTCGACGAAGGGCCTCTTGTTGTAGCAGTCGAGGTTGCTCCCGTATCCGACGCCAAGGATGTTGCAGTAGCGCTGGTAGAACCCGATCCGGTCGGCAACACGGCTGTCCTGCCCCCTGCCGCACTCGAGCCCGCCGTTGATGATGTTGGTGATGACGCCGTACCCGGGCACCCTTCCGGCCGCGTTGTCTGCGGCCGTCGGCGTCCACTGGCCCGTGATCACGGCGTGGGATGATGGCTTGTTTGCCTGCGGCGTCATCCAGAACCACAACGCCGTCTCGAACGACACCGTGGCATCTGTGGCCACAAGGTCCGGGTTGTTGAGCAGGTCCACGCCGATGGCGCGCCCCGCCGGGCCGTAGTTGTAGTTCCAGGAGAGCATGATGGGGCCGCGGCCGTAGTACTGCCTTCCTTGCGCGCACGGCCACTCCGACGATGGCTGGCAGTAGTCGGGCGGTGAGCCCAGCTCCCGCTTGTAGCAGTATCCCCAGGAGTAGGGGCCGTCGGGCGCGGTGGCCCACCCGCCGGTGGTCTCATGGGAGGTCTGCCCGAAGAAGGCTGCCACCTCCTGCTTCCGCGTCTCGGTGCTCCCCGTGGTGCCGAAGGCCGGGAACGCGGCGGCGGCGGCCAGGAATGCGTCGTACGTGTAGAACCCGCCGGCATCTGTGCATTGGCTGCTGTGGAGCAGGAACTGCTCGAAGATGTCCCTGGAGATGATGGACGACACGCCGCCGCCGGGGCTGGGTCCGGGAGGGGTGGGGCCGCAGCCGCTGCACTGGCTCTGGCAGCCGGCGCCACAGTAGTCGGAGGTGCTGCCGCAGTAACCGAAGCGGCTGCAGCAGAGGCAGTTCGGGCACGTCGCTCCGCCGGCCTGCGAGCCGCACTGCTGGGCGCGGGCGGCCGTGGACAGCACCGCCGCTAGGACGACGGCCAGGATGGCCGCCACCCTTGGGGCTCTCAGTACCTTGGTGGACATGTATGGCTTCATGGTCTTGGTGGTGCCTGATAGATTATGGTGCCAAGTGCCGCCATTTATAGATCTTTGGTGGAGAGAAGTGTGCGGAAAAATCGGTGGAGAAAGGTGTGTGATACTGCTAGTCAGTAGTCACACGTTGTTCATCGCTTGAATTCTGAGCATGACATGTCACAAATTCCCCTTATCATCTGCATTACTACAGGAGCATGTGACGTGTCTTCTCTCATAAATTGTTGAAGTGGACCAAACATTCATCGATCAACCACCTCTGACTGATAAATTAGTTACTACGTGATGATAACGTGGTGGGATTTTGGTTGCCCTGTTCCTAAAAGTTATACTCATCTTCTGAAAATTTGTGTCGCGTGCGTGCGTGTGTCTGTGTGTGTGTGTGTAGGGTATTGGCTTAAAATTTGACTATAAGATTAGCTTGTATTAAAAAAATGTTGTGCAACTTTGTGCCTTGTACATAGTGCATATTGCAGTGAACTTATTTTCTTGCGGGCCCTCCCAATTTTGTGTCGAACAACTCATTTCCTCTCCATATTTTTATTCTAATAACACAAACCATCTATAAAATGGATATATTTGATGTTTTGATGGGAGACTAGAGCGTTTCAGAATCAAGAGAGTGGTATTACTGTTTTCCTCCATTAATGTGAGTGGCGACGTAGAAAAGATACATCAGTGGCAGTGTCGTTCGTTTCATAAGACAATTAGGTCACTTCCAATGGTTATATCATGGTTGTTGGTAATATTTATCACAAGAAACATATAGTAATGTGATGTGGAAATAAACGAAGAAAGAAATCCTGGTTGTATATATGCACATGAAGCAATAAATTTTGCACAAGAACTGAGCGCATCTCCAGCCGCGCCCCCAACAGGCCCCCCCAAGGCGATTTTTTAGCGCCGGTGGCCGAAAATCGGCCCAGTCGCGCCCCAGGATCTCGTTTACCGCCGTTTGTGCGAAATCCAGAGCCGGCGATCCCGCCCCGAACCCAAACGGCCGGGTGTCGCCTGGGCGCGCCGGCACAAGCGAAAAGCGGCGTGGGGCCGCTCTGTCGGCGACTGGAAGCCCTTTTCCCGCCGTTTCCTCCCGCGATCACCCCTCTCTTCTCCATTCCTCCCATCAAACCCCCGCCTCCTCCCTGTCCTTCCGCCGGCCATACCGTCGAAGAAGTACGTGATGCCGCGCGCCACGACGGATCCCACCGCCGCCGCCGCCCAGCCGAAGCAAAGGAAGCCGAGGGCTCCGCTCTCCAAGCCCCCCGGCATGACCAACGCCGAGTGGAAGGCGGATGTGGAGCGTCGGAAGGCCGTCACCGCCGATAGGCGCAACACGGCCAAGAAGCGCGAGGGAAAAAGCGGCGTACGCTGCGGCGGCGGCGGCGGAGCGTGCCACCGAACAGGCGGAGGTGGCACGCGCGGCGATGACAAATCCACCCGGTGGGCACCCGTACACGGCCTGGAGCCAGCAAAGCGTCGGCTCTTCGGCCGGGTTCTCGTTGTCGCCGCACCCATGGAGCACGCCATCGCCGGGCTATGCCGATGGGGACGCCCACGGTGGTTTCAACCCCAACATCACCTTCCCCCACGGGCGCCCTGCCCAGTGCCCGCCCTCACCCGCGTTCGCCGGCCTGCAGTACCCGCCTTACACGTACTCGCCGCCGGACTACGCAGCCTCACCGACGCCCCCTCTTCACTTCGGCCTCTACCACAAGCCTTATCCTCGTCGCATCTCGGCGACACCGACACGGCGGAGGCCGACATGGAGGACATCATCGCAGCCGGCTCGGCTGCCGCCGCCGCTTCCCCCGTATTCACTACGCAGGACGGCTCGATTGGCCTAGCCGACATGGATGGCGAGGTCGACTATGGCGAGTAAGAGCCGAAGGAGGAGGAAGAAGAGGAGGAGGAGCCGGCGCCGACGAGGAAAGGCAAGAAGAAGAAGAAGAAGAAGAAGACAGCGGCCAAGTCCGGCGAGCCACGCATCAAATGGGCGTCCAAGGAAGAGGAGTGCCTCGCCGAAGCGTGGAAGGTCGTCTGCCTCGACCTGGTCACCGGCACGAATCAGAGCATCGAGACATAATGGGACCGCATCAAGGCCGAGTTCGACGAGCGGAAGCTCGTCAACCCCTACTTCAAAGGCATGCACATGAAGCGGGGGTCGAAGGGGAGGGCGAACCATTGGTCGCTCACCCAAACGGCGTGCAACAAATGGCAATGGAATCGTCGAGGAGGTCGCGGCTTGCCCGGAGAGCGGCACCAGCCTCGAGGATCAGGTATCGCACGCCGTTCTTTCGCTCCGAGAGCGTTCTTTCGCCTTGTACGCGCCCTCGCGCGCGCTCTGGTGCGCGCTTTGGTGCCGACTGATGTCCTTCCTTCGGTGCAGCTGCTACGCATGTTCGCCATGTTCCGCGACGACAACAGCGAAGTAGACTTCAAGTACCTCCACGTCTTCAAGCGGATCGACAAGTGCGAGAAATGGGCGGTCGTCTGACGCACCCTCGCCAAGGCCAAGGAGACGTACAAACCGGACGCGCCGACCGCGGGCGCGGCCGACGGGCGCCCGGACGGCAACAAAGGTGCCAAGAAGGCGAAATATGCCGAGTCGGCTGCCGCGCACGTGCAAGAGTCCATCGAACACTGCCTCGCCAACGCCAAGACCAGGGCCGCCGAGCGAGAAGAGAAAACCGAGGCGAGGTGGGCTGTTTTGATGACAAACATCGCCGTCAAACTCGACTTGCTCCGGACCAGCGCCGCCGCGAAGCTCAAAGCTCAAGACGCCAAGAAGAGGAACAACGACCTCGCCTTTTTGATGGGCGGCGCTGACATGCTCCAAAGCGGCGACGAGAATCTCAAGGCGTGGTTCTTGGCCAAGCGCGGCCTCATCCTGAACCAGATACCGGCGACGCCGACGCCGCCGGCTAGCCCGACGGCTGATGACGATGCCTCCGCGATGCCCAGCCCCACCGACGACGATGCCTCCGCCGCGCCGAACAGCCCGGAAGCCGCGCCGGACAGCCCGGAAGCCGCGTCGACTCCTCCCAGCCCGCGTACACCGCCGCCGCCGCCGCCGGAGGTTGAGCTTGGCGCCTGATGCCTTCCGCGCCCTTCCTTTTTTGTACGCCGAACTACATTTGATCGCCGAACTGTGGCACTATGAATCGCCGAACTATTGCGATGATAGCCGGTTTGTTGTTTCTTTGAGCGGGAATAATGGATTTCGAATATGGAGCGCCTTCGGGGGCGGTACCTGGGCGCGTGGCTGGAGAGAAACGAACCCCAGGGGCCGAACTAGCGCCGGCTCGCCCCCATGCTGCTCTTTTTCGGCGCTCCAGGTGGCCGAACGGCTGGAAATGCTCTGAGGTATGTATGGAGAGCCAACTATATTTTTATTGGTTGATCTCATAGACACTCTCTGTCCTACCTTCTATTGGACAACTTAGACACATGCTGTTCGAGTATAATGCGTGGGTTATCGGTTGACGTCATAGAAAATTCACCAGCAAAGTAAATCATGAACTATTGAATATGCTCTTATATATACTCAACTAACGAATGATGCAATAAGAAAATGACCTTTCAGTAGGAGGATCTCTAGAATTTGGAAAAAGATAACACAAAAACACAAATTTTATTTCTAGCGACCTATCACACTTAAAATATGTTCCTAACGATCAAACGAACATCCTTCTAGGAGTGAACTGCTTCAAGGAAAGAATTTTTTTAAATTTCTTGCAAGGATGAATTATCAAACCTAGTAGTGTCTCTGACCAATTTGTATTTTTAATATAAAAGAACACAGTTATAGGTGCGGCAGGGAAGAAAACCAGTTGGTGATCCGTAGAAGTTTTCATGCTAGTATGGAAGGAAGTATTGTAATGGACCCAGTTCTCTTTCGGGCCCTATCAATTTTGTGCCGAATAACCCAGTGTCTCCACACATATATTTATTCGAATAAAACTGACCATCTATAAAATGGCTATTTGATGGGATACTAGACCCTTCCAGAATCAACAGAGTCGTCTTACCATTTTCCTCCACTAATGTGAGTAGCGACGTCTAAAAGACACGACATTTACATTGCTGTTCTTTTGATGAGACCTTTGGGTCATCTCCAATGGTTATACGCTGGTTGCTGGTAACATTTATGACAAGGCACATATAATTAATGACGTGGCGCAGAAATAAACAATTGAAAAGAAATCAAGGTTCCATATGTATACATGAACCATTATTTTTTGCACAAGCTCTGACGTATAAATAGAGAGCAATACACCGTGTATACCTTTTATGGATGATTTCCCTTTTGTGCTCCGCACATAGGTTTATTTAATATGCTTGGGAGAGTTAACAATGTGGAAAGTTCTTTGTACTTTCGTTTCTCCATGAGCTTTCAGCACATGTCAAATAAAACAGTCATCTTTTATGGGGGTAACAAAATAACACCATCAAGCTTTTGAATGAATGAAAATTTAGCTGGGTATATGATGACATGAGCAAACATCCCATATAATGGAAGTTTTATTTCAAAAACACTACTACATACATTGCCAAGTATATAACTATCCCGTGCTGTTGCACGGGTCGATGACTAGTTAAACGAAACAAGGATGTTCGAGACGCGCTGTTATGAAAACAACCACGTATTTGAGCGACTAGATTTGATATTATACTAGTTTTTATTCTCTCTTCCAATGGCTTAGAGGTATTCATGGTCTATTGGGTAAACATTTAAAAAACGTTAAAAATTTGTAGGCAAGATACACCATTCAAACATTATTAGTTTGCATATTTTCTCCGACAACAAAGGATTAACTATTAGATGTAACCTACCGTTGTAGTAGCCAAACCAACATCATAAGTTTCGGCCACAAGCTCAAGCGGGATGGTATCCTTGATTTCGACGAAACTTTCAATCCGATCGTCAAGCCGGGAGTATATGTGTCATTTCCTGCATCGCGCTCTTCCACAACCGGAAAGCAAGGGCACCA